AGTTGTAATGTCTTCCTGCAGTTCCTAATTTTTGAATTTCCACCCCAAATTTTGTTTGGCTCCTTTGGTCTTCCATGCCTGAATTAAATTCTGTCTGTTTAAAATTCTTAAATTTTCCTGATTGGACCCTGAATGATATAGTATCTCCTAATCTCCTTTCTGCCAAGTCGTCCAATTATACATTTTGCCCTAATATCATTAATTATTATCATTAACATCACCCTGTACCTCTCTTCCCCCTCCCTCCCTACAATTTCCCTCTTTTAGATTCAGAGCTTTCATCCTGCTCTATTTCTCTTGTTGGGAGGAACATGATCCGATAAACCCATTCATACAAAGATGTGTATCTCTATGGGGAGTATATGCATTTTTGCAAAAAAATGTCCAGGGACACAGTAATGATAAATTCAAAGTGATGACTCATGAATGGCAGAATCTTTCCTTCCTAATGTCCTTCAGAGGCCTATGCCCCCATGCACACTGCCACTTCTAGATTTTGTGTGAATCAGTGAGTATCACTCTACGCCCTCACCCCAGCATTCTCTGGTTCAGATTTCTGTCCTTGGCCCCATGTGTGGCTTGATGGAGGACTGTGGATGGAGCTCCGAGCCTATGGTGCCAGCACTGGAAAGTCAATTGAGAATGTATGCTTTGCTAGTGGTGGGTGTGTAACTTTTTTTCAAATATAAAGTATATACACATTGTTACTCTTTATGTATTTCTTTACAATTTTTCGCAAAGCCTGCACAAAAAAAAATAACCCGTATTTTAAAAGTATGCTTCCCATGCTAACAGTTACAGAATCTCATTTTAGTTGCTTGAGGCAAACATGCTACTCTATGTGTGTATTTGGCTCTGACACATTTACTGCCTCAGAACATGAACATTTTACCATTTAAAATAAACCATGGAAATTTAACTGCATAAAGATTTGATAATAAGCTCCAGCATGGTAAATCTTAGGTCATCTGGGAACTCGCCACTTCCACTCTCAAGTACTCAGATGGACTCAAACCTTGAATGCCCTTGAAAACAGCTCTTGGGAACAAAGACGTCATGCATTGACACTCAGGGTTAGGGAGACCAACCATCCCATTTGTTGGGGAATGAGGCATGGGGATGGAGGAGTTTGCAGGATGCAGAACTTTCATCGATGCAACCAGGAAGTCCTGGGCAATCTGGGACAAGGTGGTCACCCGATTAAGACTGGATGGCAGGGGAGAGGGAAGGCTCTAAATTTCACAGCCGAAATGCTGTGATTGGCCAGGCTGCCATCTAGAAGGAAAACAGCTTTCTGATTGGCTGGGGAGGTTGATGCCCAGAAGGAAAGCACCTCTCTGATTGGCTAACCTTGGCTGTGTAGGGTTAGTTTTTAGCCCACGGAGCTGGGCTACAGGTGAAATAACCCACTAGAAGAGATGAGTGAGGACAAATAGGAAAGGAGAAGACTGTGAAAGAATGAGAGGAGGATTGGAGCCTGGCAGAGGAGGAGAGAAGCTGAAGAGGGAGACGACCAACAGTTCTGTGTACACCCGGATAAGATGAATGGTTTCATACAACTCAGGAGCACGTGCCTCAAAGGCCTAGAGCAGTGGTTCTTAACCCTAGTTGGCCATTAGAATTACTTGGAAACTTCTGACCTCAACCTAAAGGATATCAATGTGCACTCTCAATGGTACCTGGGCTAGCACACCTAATTGTGTGTGAGTGTATGTACGTGTGTGGGTTTAGGCACCAACATCCAGGGATAGTATGTTAGGAAACATACCTCTTATAATTAATTATCATGCTTCCCTATCCCATCCAGTTGACTGTAGGAATTTTGCCATCAAAAAGTGTTATTTCTAGAAGGCCACTGGGAGGCCAGGCATGGTGGTTCATGGCTGTAATCCTAGTACTCTGGGAGGCTGAGGCAGGAGGATCACTTGAGCTCAGGAATTGAAGACCAGCCTGAGCAAGAGCAAGACCCATCTCTACTAAAAATAGAAAGAAAAAATAATAGCTGGGTGTGGTGGCACATGCCTGTAGTCCAGCTACTCAGGAAGCTGAGGCAGGAGGATCACTTAAGCCCAGGAGTTTGAGGCTGCAGTGAGCTCTGATGACGCCACTGCACTCTAGTCAGGGCGACAGAGTGAGACTCTGTCTCAAAAAAAAAAAAAAAAAAATGCCCACTGGGCTGCTTCCTTGCTTCCTTATGAGGTCTCATAAAGATGTCAGCACAGAGTCTCCTGCTCCAGCTCACTGAGTTTCCAGCCCCAGTGGGCTTTTAGGGGGATAATAGTATCCCCTTTGCAGCTGGAATCACCTCCATGCAATTCTGGAGCCTCTCCTCCCTGAGGCCAGTTGGAATGGGGATTGGCGAGAAAAGCAGCATTCACCTTTACCAAGTCATTCCAAGCATGGAATAGGTCCTTCCTTTAATTTTCCTCAGAAGCACAGAGAACTCAGAGTTCAGGGAGAGCAGAGAATGCAGGTGTTAAACATGGAGACTAACACAGGAGTTTCCTGCTTCTAGAGAGAATGGCTCTCTCCCTTCGGTCCAGCCTTTCCTCTCCAGTTCTTATTTCTTGTCTTGGAATCAATCTCCTCTCAGGATGATTTTATGAAAGGAAGATTCATTCTCATTAGGGGAAACCACATGCCCTACCCGCTGTTCAAGAATGTAACGATACTTCAGAGTCCAACATGAGCCATCTCTGGTCCTCTGTGTTAAATAAGCCACCTCAGGTAGGTAGGAATCAATAGTCCCGTCCCGGTGAGTTTCTGCCAAGCTTGGTGCAGCTGTTTTTCAGTCGCTCCTGCATGTGGGTAGAGGTGCCTGTTGTTTACTCTGTAGCTATCCCAGCAACATCAACTCTCCATCTCATATGAGCAACTGTCAAATTATTTCCCAAAAACAAAGACAGAACTTCTACTTCTTGCCTTAAACAACTAAAAAACAGAATGAAATATGTGCAGCAATGGTTTCCAGACATGGCAAAATCGGCAATAATGGACCATAATCCTTGAGTGAAGGAAGCAAACAAGATGAGCCCTCAGGGCACCCCAGGCCAAGCCCAGGGAGCATTGCCAGGCTGCAGCGCTGAGCGGGAGAATCCAAAGCAGCCCTGATGGCCTCCCTAGGATGAAGAGCTCAGGGAGCCCAGTGGCTAGAAATACAGGACAGATTGCTGGAGAAAAGAGAGTTGCATAAAGGGAGAGCTCCGAATCTGCAAAAGCTTCTCCTACAGTCTTTAGCTGAACCCTAATTAGCTCATGCATGTGAGAGAACTTCCTGAAAAAGAACCTCTGGAAAGAAACAGCAGGAACAATCTTCAAAGCTTACACCACTTCTTAGTAGTCAGAGTGGAAAGACTTGCTAACATGTGGAGTGTGAAGTAGAGCCTTCAAATAGGTAGGACAAATTAACCACCACTAAAAGCTGTTCTGGACCCACCTTAGGGAGGCTTAAACCAAGCCTCAAATGGATCAAACCATCTCCAAGTGACTTAACTGAGCCCCAGAACAAAGGTGAAAGTATTTAAAGGACTGTATTACAACAAACAAACAGAGACAATAACAGAACCCAAAAGGTAAACTTCACCTTTCATCTAACCAAAAGTGGCAAAGAAGAAGGAAAATGTGGCTCATAGCAAGGAAAAAATGTAACCAAAAAGAGCAGACCCAGAAATGACACAAATGACAAAATTAGCAGACAAGGACATTAAAACAGCTTTTATAAATATACCCCATATGCCAGAGATGGGAGAGGGAAGCGTGAGCATGGTGAGGAGAGAATGGAAGACAAAAAGACCCAAATCAAACTTTTAGCGAGAAAAATAATGTTGGAGATGAAAAAATACACTTAATGGGGTTAACAGCAGATAATGCATCATAATAAGATAGAGTTTATCCCTTGAATGCACGGCTTATTTAACACTGAAAATCAATTATTGCTTTACAATACTGAAAGATTAAAAAAGAAAAACCATAAGAACATCAAAAAAGCATCTGTCAAAATTCAACATCCAATCATGATCAAAAAGTCCCAGCAAACCAGGAATAGTAGGAAACTTTTTCAAGCGGATTAAGGGCATCTATGACAAAACTGCAGCCAACATCATATTTAATCATGAAAAGACCAAATTCTTTCCTACTAAGATCAGGAATGAGCAAGGATGTGCACTCTCACCACTTCTATTTAACTTTTTTTCTGAAGGTCCTAGCTATAGCAAGAGGCAGAAACAGAAATAAAAGGCATACTGATATGAAAGGAAGAAACAAAAGTATCTTTATTAACAGACAACATGACTGTCTATGTAGAAACAAATGGTGTTGGTTTCGTGGGCATATGATTTATTGAAACTTATCAAATAGCATTCGTTAAATATGTAAAGTTTGTGGTAAGTCAATTATACCACGATTAACCTGTTTTTTTTTTTAATATGAAGAATAGTTTGTAGCAGAGTGCACTTTAAATCCATAGAGTAATGTATCAGTCAGGGCAATTAATGTTAGTTGCTGTAACAAGAAACCAAATATCTCAGTGGCTTGATATAACATTAGATGATTTGTTGCTTATGTCACAATCCCGTGTGGGTTGGGTTGCTCCTGGGAGCTCACAGCCAAGCAGTGACTCAGGGACCCTGGCTCTTTCCATCTTGTAACCCTGCTACCTTCGACATGTGGTCTCCACTCTTTTGGAGGAAAGAAAGAAGAGATAGTCATGATGAGGTCCGTGAGGAGGTGCGTGCCACGTCTGCCCACATCCCTGAGGCCAAAACCCAGTTCCATTGCAGCGAGGTGGGCAAATACAGTCCCCCCCATGCCAAGAAAGAAGAGTAGTGCTTTAGTGCTTTCATTTATATTCTCACCAGTCTCTACCAGAAGAAAAAGAAATTGCTCTCCCCTGAGTATCTATGCGCACGATAACACATATTACAAAACACATATTACAACACTGAGCTTCGGAGCCAAATACCTACATTCAGATTCCTTCCTGGTTTTCTCTCACAGCTTGCTTCCACCAAGGGGAATCCAAGTCTCCAACTTCTAGAAGACAGAGAAGTGGTTATAGTTTTCAAATCACTCCCACTGCCTCCCCAACTTATTTTCCATTTTTACCCCTAAGGTTTCAAAACTTTCAGAGTCCAGCCTAAGCAAAGGACTGCAGCTTCGTGTCCTACACCGTCTGCATCTCTGAACCTACAGCACGAGGGGAAACAGTCCAACATGATGACACAGAGCCGCCCAGAAAATTTGGTACATTATAGCAGGATAAAGGGACTCCTTGTGAGCCAGATAACCTTGATGAGTGACCATTTGGACAGGCAGTGACAGGGACAAGATGTGGATCCAAGGGCTTACACTACCAGTTGTGTGACATTGGGCAAGATTAGTCCTTCTGAGACTGTCAGTTTCTTCATTGATCACAAACATGGGGACAATTATAATACTATCACAATAAATTAAATAAATAGTTCCTGAGTGCTGTGATGAAATAGTGAACAATATATTGAAAACTTACGGAACTTACAGTCTAGAGTTGGAAGCAAAGAAGCAAGGACAGTTAATGTGATGTGTTAAAGTCTCTAATAGGAATGATACTCGTCTTACCTTGTAAGGCTGTAAGGATCAAATGAGGCATAACAAACACATTTAAATTCTACGTAAACTGTGAAGCACCTTACAAATGCTTGTTATTGCTATTAAGGAAATAGGCCCTGATGTTCACTATATACTATCACATCCCTGCACCCCACCTCAAATGTTTGAAATGCAGAGATTACTCAATTGTATGACACATTTGTACAGAAATGGAATTAAATGAGATAGCAACACAAGTGGAAGCGTTCTGTAAACTCACATGTTACACGCATATAATTTATTTAACATTCATATTGTTATTTCTGATGTTTATTACTGAGCACACTGCCTGTGTGGTTCAAGATACTCTTGCCAGGATGGGATAGTTTGAAAGGTCTGCTGTTTTTCAGCCTTGAGTGCATGATCCATAATATAGATGATTATCAACATGTCTGACTGCAACACAAATACTTCCCCTGAGCTCATCATCTGCTTAAGAGCATGGGGTGAATTGAGAGGTTTTAAATGCCATGAAGAGTACATTTTTCACACACTGGAGAGAAAAGATATTTCATTGCAATATTTATTCCCACCTCACCCCCTATCCTTTCCATTGCAAACTTCATCTACACTATCCATGTATCTTCTCTGTTGACATGACATAGCATATCTTCAGGGCTAACCAGTGGACTTTCCTTGAACACATTTCTCCTGAGGCAGTGGGTCTCCCCCAAGCCAAACCCAGCAAAGCTTCTCAACAGGTGTCTGTGGTCCTGGGGCACTTGTCGACCTGACCCATGTCAGAATGTCATTGAAACTCAACTAAGGGGCCAACAGATAACTCTGCTCAGAAAGACGTGATCTGAGTGTTGAGCTTCCAAGTCTAGAGCATGTGAGTTGATTGAGGTAGGCGTGGTTTTTTGTTTTTTTTTTTTTTTTAATATTTTGATTTGCTTCCTGGATTTTTAGTGTCAGTCTCCTCAGGCAGAATTCCTGAGGTTGAGATTGGGCTCATGGTTCTCACACTTCTGTGGACTGGACTAACTGTTCCATTAAAGACAGACACATAATTAGTCCATTCTATGAGGAAAAGAATAAACACTTTTCTAAACTTAGTGTTTATTGTGAGCTTCAAAATACCCAGGGAACAAATACGTTGTTTTCTTCAGATAGCCAAAAAACAGGAAAAATAAGAATTACCAGATTTAGGTCCAACTCTAGAATTCTGTTTTCTCCCTCTGACTACAAGGGTATTTAATGGGAGGTCACTGTGTCAACCCCCAAAATGCAAGACATCATTCCAGCAGCTGAGTCTCCTTTAATGTTCTCTCCTCAAAGTAGCATTGTGCCTAGCTCTGTGCTCACTTCCTTTTTCTGTTGGAAGTCTCACCCTGTCCCATGTAATGACGTCATTACTATGGGATCGACCATGTTCTAAGCACTTTGCATATATTAACTATTAAACTCTCATGGCAACCCTAGGAATAAGGTCCTATTATTACCCCTATCTCTAATGTTAAAACTGAGGCATAGATAAGTTAAGTAACTTGCCCAACATAATAAATGTCAGAGTCAGGGCTGGAGCACATGGCACACGCCCTCAGCTTTAACTCTCACCTCCGTGCGACAGTGGAGGAGGCACTGTATAATGAAAGGGGTATGGGTTCTCTAGTCAGACAGAACTGGGTGCAAATCCTGCCTCTGAAACTCACAAGTTGTGCCATTTTAAGAATATTACTTACATCCTCCGAACATGTTTTTCTTCTATGCAATGAGCCTGATAATAATACCTACTTAGTAGGGTGGATGTGACAATCAAATGTACATAAATTACCAATTAAAGGGCTTGCCTACCTTTCCAGGCAGATGACTTATAAAGGATATTACAGTATTTTATCTTAGAAATTCTAAGACGCCACGGTACCTCTCTCCATCTAGATAGCCCATGGTTGCCTTAAAGTCAAGTCCAAATACAAATGTATTATCAGTTCTCTTGCTCAGGCCAGAAATCTAGAGCTAACTTGGACTCTTCCCTTTTCTCCATCTTCCATCCTCCATATCTAATCTGTAGCTCGTCGATTCTTCCAGTTGGCTGGAAACATCACCTCCATCACCACTGATAAAACTTACCGTGTGCCAGGTGCTGTGTTGGGTAATTTAAAATACCTCCTGAGATAGATATTACTATTACCTGTATCTCCAAATTAGTGATGAGAAAATGAGCCTTTAAGAGATTAGGTGGTTTGCTCAAGATTTCATAATTAATATGTAATAGAGCAGAGATTTGTTTTTAAATATATATATTTATTTTTAATTATTATGGGTACATAACCCTTATACATCCTTATAGGCTACATACGATGTTTCGATACAGGCATACAGTGTGAATTCATCCAATCAGTGTGATTGGGGTATCCATCACCTCAGGCATTCAACATTTCTTTTTGTTAGGAACATTCCAGTTCCACTCTTTTAGTTATTTTAAAGTATACCCTAACTTATTGTTGTTTATAGTCACTTTGTTGTGCTACCAAATATTGTTCACTCTATCTAACTATCTGACTATATTTTTGCACCCATTAAGCATCTGCTCTTTGTCCCTCCCTCCCTGCTACCTCTCCCAGCCTCTGGTAACTATCATTGATTCTACTCTCTGTCTCCATGAGATCAATTGTTTTTAATATTTAGCTTCCACATGTGAGTGAGAACATGTGAGATTTGTCTTTCTGTGCTTGGCTTATTTCACTTAACATAATGTTCTTCAGTTCCATCTGCGTTGTTGCAAATGACAGGATTTTTCTTTTTGTGGCTATATAATATTCCATTGTGTATATGTACCACAATTTCATTATCCATCATTCATCGATGGATATTTAGCCTGATTCCATATCTTGGCTATTATGAATATTCCTGAGATTAACATGGGAGTGCAGATATCTTTTTGATGTACTGATTTCCACTCCTTTGGATATATATCTAGCTGTGGGATTGCTGGGTCCTATGGTAATACTATTTTCAGGTTTTTGAGGAATTTCCATACTGTTTTCCATACTAGTTGCACTAATTTACATTCCCACCAACAATGTATGAAGGTTCCACTTTCTCCACATCCTTGCCAGCAATTTTTGCCTGACTTTTTGATAAACGCCATTTTAATTGGGGTGAGATGATATCTCATTGTAGTTTTGATTTGCATGCCTCTGATGACTAATGATGTTGAGCATTTTTTTTTTCATATACCTGTTGGCCATTTGTATGTCTTCTTTTGAGAAATGTGTATTTTTTTTTAATATTAGTAAATTTTTATGAACTATTACTACAAAGAACTTCAGCAAGAGGGGGGATAAAGTTTAGTGATCATTCAGTAAACATGTTCAGTGTAACAGTCTTAGCGACTAGATATTTAAAAAAAAAAATCAAGCTTATAAACACCATTGCTCTGTATTCAACTGGTGTACACTAAAAATAGGATAATGGAAATATATGTTCTTAAAGCATTTCCACAGGAAATGTTCATATTTTTCATGGCATTCTAAATCACTTAGCAATTACATATGCTACATTAGCTAAAACACAGATCCTTTGCCTGTTTTTTAATTGAATTATTTGACTTTTTCCCATTGAGTTATTTGAGCTCTTTATATATCCTAGTTATTGATACCTTATCAGATGGGTAGTTTGCAAATATTTTCTCCCATTCTGTGGGTTATCTCTTCACTTTGTTGATTGTTTCTTTGCCATGCAGAAGCTTTTTAGCTTGACATGATCACATTTGTGCAATTTTGCCTTGGGAGAGTTACTCAAGAAGTCCTTGCCCAGACCAATGTCCTGAAGCATTTCCCCAGTGTTTTCTTTCAGTAGTATCATAGTTTCAGGACTTAGATTTCAGTGTTTAATCCATTTTGATTTGATTTTTGAATATGCTGAGAAATAAGAGTCTAGTTTCATTCTTCTGCATATGGATATCCAGTTTTCCCAGGACCCTCTCCCCCCTGCTTTTTTTTTCGAGACAGGGTCTTGTTCTGTCACCTGGGCTAGAGTGCAGTGGCATCATCATAGCTCACTGCAGCCTCAAACTCCTGTGCTCAAGACATCCTCCTGCCTCAGTCTCCCAAGCAGCTGGGACAACAGGTATGTGCTACCATGCCTGGCTAATTTTTCTATTTTTTTGTAGGGAAGGAGTCTCTCTCTGGCTCAGGCTGGTCTTGAACTCCTGACTTCAAGTGATCCTCTGGCCTTGGCCTCCCAGAGTGCTAGGATTACAGGCGTGAGCCACCACACCCAGTCTCCCAGGACCATTTATTGAAGAATCTGTCCTTTCCCTATTGTATGTTCTTGGCACCTTTGTTGAAGATAAGTTCACTATAGATAGGAGGATTTATTTCTGGATTCTCTGTTCTGTTCCATTGGTCTATGTGTCTATTTTTACACCAGTACCATGCTGTTTTGGTTACTACAGCTCTGTAGTATAATTTGAGGTCAGGTAATGTGATTCCTCCAGTTTCCTTTTGTTCAGGATAGCTTTGGCTATTCTGTGTCTTTTGTGGTTCTGTGTAAGAAGAATGTCATTGGTATTTTGATGGGGATTGCATCGAATCTATAGATTGCTTTGGGTAGCATAGACATTTTAACAATATTGAATCTTCCAGTCCATGAGCATGGAATACCTTTCCTTTTGTGTGTGTGTCCTCTTCAATTTCTTTCATCAGTGTTTTTATAGTTTTCGTTATAGAGATGCTTCACTTCTTTGGTTAAGTTTCTTCCTAGGTATTTTTTGGGGGTATTTTATTTGTAGTTATTGTAAATGGGATTATTTTCTTGGTTTCTTTTTCAGATTGTTTTCTGTTGACATATAGACATGCTACTGATTTTTGTATGTTGATTTTGTATCCTGCAACTTTACTGAATTTGTTTATCAGTTCTAATAGTTCTTGGGTGGAGTCTTTAGGTTTCTCTAGATATAAGATCATATCATGTGTACAGAAGTATAATATGACTTCTTCTTTTCCAATTTGGATGTCCTTTATTTCTTTCTCTTGTCTGATTGGTTTAGCTAGAACTTCCAGTACTATGTTGAATAACAGTGGTGAAAGTGGGCATCCTTGTCTTGTTCCAGATCTTAGAGGAAAGTCTTTCAGTTTTCTCCATTCAGTATGATACCAACTATGGGTGTCATATATGCCTTTTACCATGCTGAGGTAAATTCCTTCTATACCCTGTCTTTTGAGAGTTTTTATCATGAAGGATGTTGAATTTTATTGAATGCCTTTTCAGCATCAATTGAAATGACCATATGGCTTTTGTCCTTCGTTCTGTTGATATGATACATCGCATTGACTGATTTGTATGTGTTGAACCATCCTTGCATCCCTGGGATGAATTCTACTTGATCATGATGAATAATCTTTTTAATGTGTTGTCAAATTCATTTGCTAGTATTCTGTTGAGGATTTTTGCATCTATGTTTATCAGAGATACTGGCCTATAGTTTTCTTTTTTTGGTGTCTTTATCTGGTTTTGGTATCAGGGTGATACAGGCCTTCTAGAATGAGTTTATAAGTATCCCCTCCTCCTTGCTTTTTTGGAATAGTTTAAGCAGGATTGGTTAGTTCTTCTTTGAATGCTTGATAGAATTCATCAGTGAAACCATTGGGTCCTGGGCTTTTCTTTGATGGGAGATTTTTTATTACTGCTTCTATCTCATTATTTGTTATTTGTTTATTCAGATTTTGGGTTACTTCCTGATCTTGGTAGGATGTATGTGTCTAGGAATTTATCCATTTCTTCTAGATTTTCAATGTATTGGCATAGAGTTGCTCATAGTAGTCTCTAATAATCCTTTGGATTTCTGCAGCATCAGTTTTAATGTCTCCTTTTTCATCTCCTATTTTATTTATTTGAGGCTTCTCTCTTTTTTTCTTAGTCTAGCTAAAGGTCTGTCTATTTTATTTGTCTTTTCAAAACACCAACTTTTCGTTTCATTGATTTTTGTATTGTTTTTATAGTTTCAGTTTCATTTATTTCTTCTCTGATCTTTATTATTTCTTTTCTTCCACTAATTTTAGGTTTGGTTTGCTCTTGTTTTTCTAGTTCTTTGAGATGCATCATTAGATTGTTTATTTGAAGCTTTTCTAGTTTTTTGATGTAGGCTCTTATTGCTATAAATCTTTCTCGAATTACTGCATTCTCTGTATCCCATCGGTTTTGATATATTGTATTTTCATTTTCATTTGTTTTGAGAATTTTTAAAATTTACTTCTTAATTTCTTCATTGACCCATTGGTCATTCAGGAGCATATTGTTTAATTTCCATGTGTTTGTATATTTTCCAATGTTCCTCATGTTAGTGATTTTTAGTTTTATTCCATTTTGGTCAATGAAAATACTTGGTATGATTTCAAATTTTTAAAAATTTTTGAGACTTGTTTTGTGGCCTACCATATGGTCTATCTTTGAGAATGATCCCTCAGCTGAGGAGGAAAACATGTATTCTGAGGCTGTCATATGAAACATTCTATAAATATCTATTAGGTCCATTTGTCTATGGTGCAGATTCAGTCCAACGTTTCTTTGTTGATTTTCTGTCTGGATGATCTGTCCTGAAAGTGGAGTGTTGAGGTCTCCAGTGATTATTGTATAGGGGTCTATCTCTCTCTTTAGCTTTCATAATATTTGCTTTATATTAATATATCTGGGTGCTCCAGTGTTGGATGCACCATTACATAATGACCTTCTTTGTTTATTTTTACAATTTTTGTCTTGAAATCTATTTTATCTGATAGAAGTATAACTACTACTGCTATTTTTTTGGTTTCCATTTGCATGGAATATCTTTTTCCACCCCTTTATTTTCAGTTTATGTGTGTCTTTATAGGTGAAATGTGTTTCTTGCAGACAACACATAGTTGTCTCTTGGTTTTTTTTATCCATTCAGAACTCCATGTCTTTTGATTGGAGAGTTTAGTCCATTTATAGTCAATGTTATTATTGGTAGGTAAGTACTTAGTACTGCCATGTTATTTGATTTCTGGTTGTTTTGTGGTTCTCTCTTTCTTCTGTCCTTCCTGTCTTTCTTTGTTAAAAGTGATTTTCTCTGGTAGTGTGTTTTAATCTTTTGCTTTTCATTGTTTGTGTATCTGTTATAGGTTTTTTGGTTTTGAGGTTAATATGAGGCTTGCAAAAAACATTTTATAATCAATTATTTTAAACATATGACAACTCTGC